TTTTTTTAACAAACGTGTCATTTATTTTCTATTTAAAAATGTTTCTATTTTATTGAAAAATGAATATTAAATTATTTATTTCGCAAATATTGTAATAAACAGTTACGAAATATATGGAATATAATAAATGTATTGTCTGCAATAAAAAAAAAAAAAAAAATAATTATCAGATACATCAAAAAAAAAGAAAAAAAAAAAGAATTAAACAACATTCTATAATATTTTCTCAGAAATACATGTTACATTAAAAAATTATTAACTCGTACGGTCTGATTTTATAAGAAATTTATAAATTATCTTTTATAATATTTATCTAAATTTTATACCATTCTAATTGAAAATATTTATTATTACTTTTTTTTTTTTTATTAATATATGCCAGGGGTGTCGAATTTTTTATTAAGTTATTAGTCCTTGTTCAGTTTTATTACGTAAATATTTATATAAGTGAATAAATAAAATAAAAAATGATAAAGAGAGAGAGAGATAGATAGATAGATAGATAGATAGATAGATAAAAGAAAGTAAAAAAGATAAAAAGAAATATTTTTAACGTAGAAGAAATTTCCATGATGATATACATATATATATATATATATATATATATATATGTATGTAGATATGTAACTAGACGGTTGGTTTAATTCTTCTTCTAATTTTATCGTTCTGCGAGTAAGCATAATGCTACCGTACGCGTCAGCTTTTCTATTTTCCATGGCTTAACATTTTCATCAGCTAGATTTTCTTTTAAGGGCAAATGACGATAGTCTGACATTTATAATTGAACAAAATCCATTTGCCATCACATTTCACGTGAATTTCATTTAAACATTTATTACATTTAATATCATTTATTCGTACATTCTTGATAATAATTTTAAACCGATAAATTCTTTCTCAGTTTATTTTTGTGTTTTTTTTTGTTTTTGTTTTTTCTAATTTCTCTATCTAATTTTTTTTTTCACACTCGGACAGTTATCTCCTTATCGTCTTTGGTCTTTTAATTTTATTTCACTTTATTTATCCTCCTCCTCCTCCTCCTTCTTTCGTTCTCGACTCTTCTCTCTCGGCAAACGAAAAAAATCTACTAGCACCGGTTAGATTGGATTGCCTAGTTTCGTTCGATTTATAACGAGCTACGTTCGTCGAATGGGTTGGGTACCCATTCGAGAGAGACAGAGTGAAGAAATAGAAGGTATGGCACAAGATGAGATTGGCAAAATAAAATTAAAAAGATCAAAAAAGATAAACGAAGTGGAAAAGAAAAATAAAAAAAAAAAAAAAATAAAAAAAGAAAAATGACAGAAGTTAGAACGAAAGGAAAAAATTAAGGAAGGAAGGAAGGAAGGAAGAAGACACCCTTGGTCTCTCCCTCCTCCTCCTCCTCTCATAATTCACATCTTCTCTTCTCCACCCTATCTATAACTTTTTTTCTTTCTCATCTTCTTCTTCTTCTTCTTCTTCTTTCAATTGATCCACATATCGATTTAGAATATTTCAACGGGAAGAAAAATTGATTTTCCATAAGCCGCTTACTTACAATGTTTCAATCAATTAGGATTAATGAAGAACGTAGTTAAAATAGATAATACTGAATAGGGGCATACATAGTTAGCCCACGTCTTCATTATTTATGTCACACCTTTCTGTGTATATAAATATTGATCGATATTTTAATTATAATATTATATAATCCGATGTAAGACGTTATGAAACATTATTATATAACCTTTTTTTTTTTATAAAAGAAAAATGTAAATATTAAAACAATGTTATCCTCGCTAATTTTACTACTTAACCCTTAGGGATCCTATAGGAGGGACGCGTTATGTACATTGCTGGGAGACAGGAACTCGTGTAGTCACGTGATTGCGCGCGAATGATTCAAACGATAAGTTATAGGTTAGGTTTGTACATTTATACTTGTAATTATTAAATGAGTAAATTTAACTTACACTTATAGAAAACTACTAAAAAAAAAAAGCAAAACAATTAAATATAAATATCACAATAAAAACTATAAGTATTCCAAACTGAAATTAACCACAGCCGTTAATACATATTAAAGATAAACATGGCTGCGTGATGCAACGGAAGCTGTCCCCCCCATATTTTCAGCCTAGCAATGTACATGGCGCGTCTCTCCTATAGGGTCCCTATTACCCCTTTGACTGCGGCGCACTCTCGAACTAATCCATTAATATGAACGGGGTGTGATTTTCGCATGTCAGTCACTGCGATTGTTTTTCTATTGACTACTAACCAAAACAGATAATAATGGCAAATAAAATAAAAATATGAATTTTTTCAAAATAATTTAGTTGCTATGTTACATATCACAATAAATTCCACGTTAACCCTTAAAGTGCACATTTGGTAAAAGTTAGTTAAAGTGCACTGTGGGTGTTTGACACCCCAACGTGTTTGAACGCGTCTCCTGTAGCCGCTATTTAATATTTAGACCTCGCCATTTTTTTCAAAGTAGTTTGATACATCTTTTTTAAAATAGAATAGGTTTTATACTTGTCTGAATTAACACTAGATGGCACTAGACAAATAACCCATTTTTTCGAATTCAGTAGCGTTTTCGAGAGATCAAAAATTTGTTGGGCTGTCAAACACCCCATGTGCACTTAAAGGGTTAAATTAATCGGTAAAACAGCAATAAAGGTGTTATAGTAAAAAAAAAAAATACAGAGGGCGTATATATTGATGGATTTGTGAGAGCGTATATATACGCTTTTAGCAATCAAAGGGTTAATCTGTAAAAAAAAAGAAAAATAACGCAAACAAGTTTACTCTTCTTCTTTCTTTTTTTGTTTTGTTATCATTGTTATCGGTTATTTTATCGTTAAATATTTCTTTGTAATAATACTCTTTTAAAAAATTGTTCTTAAACTTTTTTACTGTAGCATGCTGATGTATTGTCCGTGTAATAATGCACTTTTACGAACGAAATTAAAGTAATAATTCTTTCGTATCGTTGCTCGTGTAAACGAATAAACGTTACGAAGTTAATTTTCATTTTTATCTACAATCGTGTGGCTATTTTTTCTTTTTCCTTTTTTAATTACAAAAGTTAAAAATCATCAAACAATTTTGACAAATAAATGCAAATATTTGCTAAATGATTATATTTCTCAAATCATTTTTTGTCATTTCTTTAAAAACGATCCTTGATAAGAAACATGTAACAATTCTGAAATATTTCCAATTAAATATTCATTGTCTTATATTATTATTATTATTATTATTATTATTATTATTATATCTAATAAATCAAAATAACATTTAATACGATAATAGTTGATCAGAAATTTTTACCTGAAAAAAAAAAAAAGAAAAAAAGAAAAGAGAAATACAAAATATAACAATTATTAATTTTAATTGATTATTTTAATTAAAAGTATAATAACTTTTAGGTTATATCTAAGAGAGAGAGAGAGAGAGAGAGAGAGAATCATTATTGATATTATTTCGTCTAAACGAAATATAAACAAATCTATATGATTCATATTAAAAATCATTACAATCTTGTTATAATAATCTTTGTCCCAATGTTAATAAACGTTAATAAGAGTCAGAAGAAAAGTTTAATTACTTTATAATAAACGAACGAACGAACGAACAAGTGGACAAGCAAGGATTAACGAGAATATCGATCGATCAACGATTATAGTAGTAGTAAGCATAATGCTTTAAAGAATTGTGCACGGTATCGTAACTTCTCTTCTTCTTCGGGTATCTTCTCAAACGACGAGTTGGTTATCGTCACGGCGTGGCTTCAAGTCTAAGGTCAGAGTTATTTTAGAGATAACCATGTTACCTTCGACCTCCTCCCCCTTACACCCCCTATCCACTTTCTTTCTCCTTTCTATTTCCCGTTCATCGTTATTCCGGAGGATTTGCATAAATAAAATAATAAACGATGACGTTAGCACCCGAGAAAACAAGGAATCTTCTTTTAACGTTTACAACCCCCACCTTCTACCTACCCCCTCCCCCCTCTCTCTCTCCACTCCACTCCACTCCACTTCACTTCGCTTTACCCCCCCCCCTCCTCCTACATACATACATTTCACGATAGATTTTCTCATACATTGTCCTGAAATTTGTCGATCATAATTTTTCTCATAATTCTTGTCTTTTTTGTTTTGTTTTCTTGGATTATAGAAAAACTGTGAATTTGGAGATCGTCGAGGAGGACTCTTACGAGAAGGATGCACTATTTTACGTTGAACTTGGTGAACCACAGTTGCAAGGAGGTAAGTTATATACAAATTTTTATATATCGTTATTATATATATATATATTAATATATGTTTTTAATAATAATAATAATAATAATTTTTGAATTAATTTTTTTTCTTTAAAACTTTAAATTTTAATTTTATCATTGATTAGTCACACGTCATTAGCCCTACGTGTTTCTACAGGAAAGGTAAAAAAAAAAAAAAAAAGAAAAAAAAAAAGAAAGAAAGAAAGGAAATTTTCAAAGAAAGAAAGGAAGAGGTATGCAAGTGATGAATGTGAGTGGTGGTTGGTAGTGGTAGTGATGGTGACCTGACGATGAATGGAGTCGATTATACTTTTTGCGAATTTAAATTATTTTTTTCCTCCCTCTCTCTGTTTTTCCTCTCCTCCTCCTCCTCCTTCTCCTCCTTCTTCTTCTCTTTTTCTTCTTCTTCTTCTCCTACTTATTCTCTTCTTTTTTTTTTTTTATTTTTAAATATTTTTTCCTCTTTATTTTTTGTTCCTCTTAATGAAGATTAATTCGTCGATCGGTGTGGCTCATAACTTTCTGAAACCGCACGGAATGGGATGGTTGAAATTCATGGAATTTCATCTGTATATTATACATATACTACATATATACACACACACACACATACATAACCATCAACTCTGTGTTAGAATCTATAAAGGAGGAAAAGATTTTTCCTCTTATTTGTTCATCGTGTTTTCTAAAAGTACGAACGAACGAACGAACGAACGAATGAAATAAAGGATGAGGATGCACTTGATTGCGATAATACTTGTATTCATCCCTTTTTTTTTTCCTTTTCTTTTCTTTTCTTTTTTCTTTAACTATTTTTCCATGCATTTGGAGAACTTCGAATGTCTTTTTCTAAACTTCATTTCATAAATCGTTTCTCGTAATTAATATTTAATGGATGCACATTGCTCTTGAAATAGATGAAATGTGGATATTTCAGCAGCTTATTTTGAACATGGCCTAACTTTATTTATGTACGAATTGAGATATTGATGGGTTTGCGTTTCAATGCAATGAAAAATATACTTACGAGTCATAATACTTAAGTTTATCTAAGGATGTTCAATTTATAGTTCTTATTAAAATAGTGGCAATTATTAAATGAATAATATGCGTTTTCTTACCACGAATGGAATTAGGCAACTTTTAAAATTAACAATCAGATTTGTTATAAAATTTCGAAGGGACTTAACTCCATTCAACATAATTTAAGATGCTTCAAATTGAAAAGTTTCATTAATAATAATTAATTGAAACGCAAATTTTGCAATATCTCGATTCGAACATAAATGAAGGTAAACCAATTTCAAAATAAACGGCTCATATATCAAATATATCAAACATATAATTGATATCTATATACACATTTTTATTTTATCGTTAATAAAAGTAATATATTTAACCAGTTGACTGTGGAATTTAGTTTCAAAAGATCACCACAGGATGCGGAATTAAAAACAAGCAACGACGTGTATACACGTCGAACGCCAGGGCAAATGGTATTATTATTATACATTTTACGAAAAACGATGAAGGATTACATTTTTATTCAAAGTCAACAAAATCTAACAATTTGTTTTTGAATACGTGATTTTTATTAAAAGCTTGAAAATAGGCAAAAAATAATAAAATACATAAAAACAAGAAAAATTGAAGATAGGAAGAATAAAGAAGAAAAATAAGAAAATAGTTTAGAACATTTCAAGCTATGTATGTGTGAGATATGTTTCAAAGTGTGCACGGTACTAAGCAAAGTGTGACTTGACAGGGTCGTACACCAAAACCTTGTTTCCCTGTGTTTTCCATTTGTTCGAGCAAACGGTACATCTTATAAATACAAATAAATTAAATAAATATAAATAAAATACTATTGGTAATATAAAGGGAACATATATCACCAAATAATATTCTTATTACATTTTATTGACATTTCATGAGTTTTTATAATGAATGATAATTTTGTTATTTTACACGACGAGTATGCACGTCAAAAGCACCGCAATAGAGATTTGGTCGTATACGTGTATACACATCGAACGCACTTAACTGGTTAAATTTCATCGTTATACAAATACAATATTCTATTACGTTTCGTTTCATTGATTTTATCACGCAATCGTCTATATTCTTCTTGGATTTCATCTAACTGAACGTAAGTTGTTTAACAAAAAAAAAAGAAAAAAAACAAAACAAACAAAAACAAACATGTTACAAGTATATCGATGATACACATTTGAAATAATATTAAATATTATTTAGATTTAAAAAACGTATTTCATGTCATGCAAAATTATGAAATTAAACAATTTGTATTTAATTTCTTATAACAAATTACTCATTTACGAGATATTTCTTGTTTTAATGTTACAGCGCTTGCTTGTAGTTAGGCTAGTTCTTTTACGATTTAAAGCGAAAAACAAAAAAACCAAAAAAAAAAGAAAGAAAGAAAGACCACTGAAAAATAATTAAAAATCTACAATTCGTCGTAAAAGAATAAAATGAATTTTGAAAAATAAACCTCGAAACTTTCGATTGGTCGAAGGATTTTTGGGGGGTGTTCTAAATTCAAAAACTTAAAAAAAAACATGAACAAAAACAAAGAAAAAAATGGGTAAAGATGCAAAAATATTCGTTTAATTTGTTGTTTTTTTTTTTTTTTTTCCGTTATTTTTTGGTAGTTCGTAAAGATTAGCATCATAGTTCATACATATATGTTGCTTCAAAAACGTCAACCGATTTCCTTTTCAAGAGTTATAACTCTTTGCTTTCGGTGGATGTCTAGCCACTACGATTTGCATATTACGAGTTTTCCTAACGTGCTCACTCGTAACACTCGCTCTTTAGTTCATGCATATGTATAGCCTTATTTTATTTATAATTATTCCATCCTTCGTACTATCCGCTCTCTTCTTCTTTGCAAAACATGCTTATAGATAGAAAGAAAAAGATATAAAAACACAAACACGTATTACGTTTACGTATTAGATCGTTTCAAACGAAGTAAATAAGTTGAATTTTTATTATATATAATAATTTAATTAATTTATCACAAATAAATATTTATATATATATATATATACATATATATAATAATTCATAATATTATTTAATAATATTTATAAAATCTCGACACATTATTCAGGGGCTGTTGTTTGGTGTTTTGCAATCGTTTTGAAAATTAAAAAACAAAAAAAAAAAAGGATTTTAAATGAAATAAAGAGAGAAGGAAAAAAATAAAAAAAAAATAAAAAACGAGGAAAACTCATTCGTCGTTCGCAGTGATTTCGCAATAACCGAATGAAATTTATGAAGATAAANAAAAAAAAAAATCTGAAGAGGAAAATTGATCGTAAAAATTTCATTCGTCGTCTCCCTCTCTCTCTCTCTCTCGCTCACTCTCTCTCCATTTATTTTATTTTCTTTTTTATTTTTCATTTGATAAAATAATAAATTAATCACTACCTTTTTTCTCTCGTTTCTATTAAAAATAAAGTCGTTCTATATACTTTCTTTTTCAATTAATTTTTACGATTTTAATCAATTTATCCAAAGTTTTTGTAGCAACCTTATTAACTTGTTTTTTTTTTTTTAATAATGAAAATAAATTGTTCGCATAATTGTGTTTCCTTGGCTCTAGCACAGATTATATTACAGTAGTTACGATTAACATCTATTAAATAAAATTAATGAAATTAATATGGGATATTATAATCGAGATTAGGAAAAATTTGATCTATCCTTGTTTTTTATGATAATATAATAAATCTATTATTTTTTTATATTTAATTTTTACACCAATTAACCCTTATCGGTTTTTTTTTTATTGATGATTCTCACTAATTGTAAGTTATAAGTGGTTTCGGTAAATATTCAAAAAAACTTGTACACTATTATAAGAATTAATTTATTATTTATTAGAAATTATCTATTTTTTTTTTTTTTTAAAGGAGTACTAGAAATATACGAGAAATTGTTAATTATTTAATTATAAATAACATATTTTTATTTGTAAATCACTTTCCACGTGATTTACGACCGACAAGGGTTAATAATCTTATCTTCTTCTTCTTTCTTAATATATATAAATTACGTGTCACGTTGTTTGTTCGCAATGGACTCCTAAACTACTGAACCGATTTGAATTAAATTTTGCACACTGTGTGCAGTTTTATCCAACGTGAAAGATAGAATAGTTTATATTTCAATTTATAATCGTAATATTATTTTATTGCGAATTATGACTTAAAGATGTGTGTATCGGACTGATTGTGAGCCACAGCAACGCGTAGCGGGGCACTCCTAGTACAAATATTATAATACTACCTACGATTTTGGTCTTTTTACAAATTCATTTGACATTTTTCATATATTTCCATTTATTTTTTTTTTTTTAAATAAAAAAAAACACTTTTTCATAATGCAATCGTATAAATTCTCTGATTATTAACGGATCAATTGTTCGTTATCAAATATTTTTCAATAAGAGTATCGTTTAATAACTTGGTGTATTTTCATCATATGATAACACATATAAAAGTATATGGGACATTTCACATGAAGCAGACAATGAAACAAATTATAATGGGTATCTCGATTCATTTAGAAGATATGAACTGAACTGTAATCGAAAAATGTATTCCTCATATTTTATCCAATTTATCAAAATTGTTAATTAAGGTAAAAAAATAAGAAATAATGACGTACAATTATTGAGGTCCCATAGAAGTACAATTGAAGCTAATTATGAACAAAATTCACGATCTCACATTTTTTTTTTTTTTTCATTGTCCGCTTCACGCGAAATGCTTCATATATTAATTGTTTGATATAATTAATGATTATTAGAAAGTGAGATAGATAATTCCCATGGAACGATTGATAATAGTTACAGGATGTATATACTAATTGTTTGATATTATCATTTGATCCTTTGTTAAAATTAATCACGTGAATATTGAATATGAAGTAATGCAAATTGTTTCCAAGATA